ACGCTGAATAAATCAATAACAATAAATGGAAAACTGTTAGTCTATATAGAGAAAAGATCAAAGTCATCGAATTCAATCGTTATATGGACTGATATTTCCCATTGCTTTGTCATTTTTCCCTGTAGAAGCCGGCGATCTAACTTTTTTCAAACCTCATATATGTAGTGAGTGTTTGCAGATGTTGCCTGCTCTTCTTTAATCATCAAATGCAACGCTGATGCGAAAGCGTAAAGACAAAATTTGAAAGTTTTATTTAAATCCCTAGCCTTTGAGTTGAAATTTCTAACCGACATATAAACCTAAAAACACGACTAAATTACATCAGTGTGTCACGTGTGATGGCAAACATAAATACGTATATCTGTAGGTCCTATAACTATGGTTATTGGCTGTTAAAGGTGTTATAAAAACATCTTTTCTCCCCTCCGCACCGTGTCTTCGATAATTTTAATCGTAAATATGAATATTAAAATTCATAAGCGTTTCTTATGATTATTTTATTTATTGGTTCTATGAAAGTATAAAAACAATGGATTTTTCCACTTGAAAGTCTAGCTACAACAAATTCTTTATATATATTAAAATACAAACTTTCCATAAATTATTTATGCAAACATTAGTCGATAAATTTTTTAAAAACAAACAACTACCGATGACATTGTTGTTCATTAAAACATGCAATAATAATGATTTACTAGAAAGTTCGATTTTTAATGAGACAAATTTGCTATTACCATTAACTTCTGCATAAATAATAATTAAGTAAAACAAAATTGTTGAAATTAGGAAAAAAACAAGTAAAAAAACATGTAATTTATGAGAAATGAGCAAAAAAAAATCAAATTTTTTATTCGTCTTGAAAAACATAGGGTTTTCTCAGTTTACGTGTTTACGCTGGGGACGTGTCCTTTGACCGATTCGGTCCAACCAACCAATGACCAACAACTTCCAATGTTTCTGCCAGGACGTAACACGAACGGACAGGCGGACAGACGGACATGCTTAAATCGATTTAGAATGTTATATATATACTTTTTGGCCGATTTTAAAGCTTCTTTCTGCGTGGTAAGAAGGTATTGATAAAAAATTTAATTTTGATACACTATAATGTTGGGTCAGCGTGTCGGATTTTCACCATTTTTGTAAAAGCGTTGCGGTAGCTTCCATAAATTTATCTCATGTAATTTATGAATAATGAAAGAAAAAACGATAGAGAGAGGTGAAAGAAGAAGTGGTGTTCTCTTATCTATGTGGCAGTGTGGCAGCGTGTCCTTCGAACAATTAAGCCTATTTTTAATACCAAGCTCCGAGCAATATTTTTAATACATTTGAAGTCAATAGCTTTTCGAATGTTCATACATGCGGACAGATGGACATGCTTATATCAATTGAAAATTCGATGTTGATCAAGAATATATATACAATGTGGGATTTCTGAAGCGTACTTCTGCGCGTTTCAAACGTTTCGATAAAATCAATATCTGCCTCATCCTTCGGTGATGGGTATAGAAATTCTTTAAAAAAAAAGCCGAAAAATTTCACATCGGCCAGTGTATTGAAAACTGATAAAGGAGTGCATCAATGCTTGCGTAGCTGTATTGAAAGCGATAGTGCCTGCATGGAAGGCGTCAATAATAAATTATTTATATATCGTTTCCTTTTTTTCATATATCATAATTCCGATAATTTGTTATCATTTTTAATAACTAAAGCAATGTGCTACATCACGTTTACTTCATTTACTATCAATTTAGTTAATATATTTTAATGTTCATTTAATTACTACTACTACTAACTAAAATATTTAATATATCACAAAACATTATTAATTTCTTATATGCGTTACGACAAGTCCAGGCATACAGGGATCGTATTGTTAAAACGTTTGCGATATTCAGAAGCCTCAAGCTTCAGAGACCCTCTAATTAATACGTATCCATGATCAGTATCAAATACGAAATCCACTTTTACAAATCTGTCTGTTGGTCACTTTGTCTACCTGCTTGCATAATATAATATATGGAAATCTATCCGTTCGTTGGTTTGTTTTGCTGGATGCATAAAATGAACATTTCAAATTTTCGAAAAATTTAAATATTAAATCGAGCGTATATTCTATGGGTGGAGAATATGGGAAAAATTGACCCCGCTTACCTAATATTCCAATAGTGTATCAAAACATAATTTTTTTTTTAATACATTGACATACATGCAGAAGTAGAAGCTTAAAGTGTACAAATTCTTGGCCAATCTCAAATTCAGAATGGACTTGAGCAAATTCGTCCAGACGTCTGTCCATCTATCCACTTATTTATTTACCAAACTGTGTAATATCTAATCGACGCATTCTCCCGTTCGGAAAATGTTTGCAAAAGATCTTGAAAATTACATAAGCAGGTCGAAGAACAGGCCTACAACATCCAAACGTCTGTACAATCAAAGTTGAGAACACCTTTGCTTACCGTGTCTTTTGCTTGTTGCTTATAACCTATAGAAGACAAATGATGCAAATTTCCACAAAACTATTCTACAAAAATATCAAAAATTAGTCACGCCCATCCAAAATTGTAGAATTTTAAAAAATATATATTTTAGCTTTTTTTTTTGAAAAGTTTCGGTCCTAATCGAATATAATTTTCTCACCCATTACTATTACAATCAATGTAGCCAGAGAAATGAGTTGAAGATTGAAATCTTGAAGCACTAGCATCTAAAAAGCTACCGGCTTTAATGAAAATTCTATCCCACTTGAGATTTGAACCCACGACCATTGAATTGTTAATCGAAATCCTTTACCTACTCGGCCACTCAAGCGAATAGAGGGTAGAGTAACAGTAACTTAAAAGCTGTAAGCCTTGTCTTCAATCAATCAATCAATCGAAGCTATCGACTTGTTGTAGAAAACGATGGCGTCTCTTAAATACCACTTGTTCAGAATTGTGCAGCATGCCTTGGTTGGCACGTGGTTCCGCAAAGCTGAAGAAGTGCGAAAATAGATCGGGGCATGGATCGCTGCCAAACCAATATAAGTACTTTCGGCATGACGTTGCCAAAAATGTTGCAGAAAATGACCGAAACTATTTTGACTAAAGTATATCGTACCAATTTTCCAGGATAAATGCATTTTTCAAATGAAAAAGTGATCAATATTTTTGCAAACACTTACTATCACTGTGAAGGCACAGTTCAAGATGGCCATAGCATCAGACGCTAAGCAATTTGACTCCTTGAGTTGGGTAAAGGATTCTAATAAATAGATTGCCTAGTCGATCATTCGTCGCAATCTCAAAATTGCAAGCTACTTGTGATAATATTTCTTGTCTCTAATTCCGTGTGAGTCAAATTTTAAATATTTATGTTTATGATTAGAAAAATTCTGATCAAAGAGTCAAGAGATGACAGACTAATAAGAAGATAGAACAAAGGAACGCTCGACTGACACAAACACAACCCGTAAACAATTATGATCCTAGCAAACAATATAAGTGGAATGGAAATGGTTTTTGGAATTATCTGGTGGAATGTTTTTTTGCGGTCTCTTGTGTTAGGGTCATGGCTGAACTTGAATTGCGTTATTATCTGGAAAATGCTAAAGATCTATTTACGCATATTATATAGACTCTCTAACCATTATTGCGTATATCGGGCGGCGGTGAAAGCAGTAGGCTCGGAAAGGCACACTCACAAAAATAAAGCGCTGCAACTTCCAAACTGCAATGGTTCACGTTTTTCAGACTCACATGAAAATGCCGAATATCGTTGATGGACGCAGACTTTGACTTTGACTGGGGCACAGTAATTACCCTCGAAAGCGTTTTTGGCCGACAGCCAGCCATTAATGTAAAATCGCGAATGGTATGACCATACTCTTAAGACTTTGACTATAATCTATCATGCCAAGCTTCCACTATAAATTTCTTTTTCAAGTGAAAAAATGGCCAAAGTATATGCAAACTCCTAATATGTACATATATATATATTTTTAGCCCTCATAATCTGTCTAAACCCTGAAATCAATATGCGATATGCACCTGCGTAAAGGCACCGCATTTAGTGGATGCCAGGCGCAAAGTTATAAAAATATTGGCATTAGTACTTAACTTTAATTTCTATTCCAACTTATTCGAGATATTAATCGGTATTAGCCGCCTGCCTAACTAAATAAGAGCTACGTAATGATGACGAATTTGTTGATTTACTTTATTTTGGAAACTTTTCATCTATGCTTTCAAGAAAATAGGACAAATCCACTATAAAGTATTTGAAAAAAAAAAGAAAAAAAATATTTAAAATAAATTATGAATAATTTTTTATAAAAATAATATATGCATATGTATACACATATGTATATATATATATATATATATATATATATGAATTAATGTAAAATTTAACAAGAGAAGATAATATATTTCACACTTTTACGACATAGCTATAAAGATTCGCAAACTTGGGATTTTTTATTAGAAAAACTATAACGTTTAGACGATTTTGTGGTTTTAAGCCGATTTGTGCAAGAAAAAAAAAAAAAAAAAAAAAACCAAACACTTTGTAAACACTTTTCTAATACATGAATATTTTTGTTTGGTTTTGATAAATTGCAATCATACGCAAGCGTGCTGATGCAAATTGCATCGATTTTTTTTTTTTTGTTTTTGTTTTTGTAACTTTAAACTTGACATTCATTTTTAAATAACATCGTCATTACATATCGTAGTATAGTTAGTTAGTGGTTAAACAAACTTTAGTTTAGAGTTTTTCAAACAACTTTTTCATTTATTTATACATATATTATGTACTTATCTACATGCATATACATATATGTAATTATTTAGGTATGTGATTTACAAGGTCAAGCATTCTAACCTTGACTTTAGCTTTATTATTAAATAATTTTAATAATTTCCATATATACGTTTTCTCATTTCAAAACTGAAATATATATACGAATTTTTTAATATTTAAATATACGAAAATTTTTTTTTTAATTCATTTTACAGAGAAGATATGCAAAAAGTGAATGTTAAATTTCATGATAACTTTACGGTATCATATCAGCATAAGAAAATACTTGAATTTGTTCCTGAGCTGAGTATCGATAAGAATACTCCGATAGTGACACCAAATATACCTCTATTGGTGAGTTGAGAGAATAATTTATTTATTACTATGCACTTTACACATTCATCTTGATTTCAAATTTAATATTGCATTTTTTTTTTTTTTTTTTTTTTTTTTTGTAAACTAACCATTACCGTAGAAGGAGACGATATATTCGTTTTATCAAAACGTTTGCAACGCGCAGAAGGATACCTCAAATAACCCACAAAATGCTTATATATTCTTGATGAATATCAAATTTTCAATTGATATAATCATGTCCATCGGTCCGTCTGTCCGTATCTTCGTCTGTATGAACATTCCAAAAGCTATTGACTTCAAATGTATGAAAAATATTGCATATGCTGTCACGAACCTTGCTATTGAAAATGAGTCTAATCGTTCGAAAGACCCCGCCTACACTTCCACGTCGATAAGAGAACACCTCTGCTGTTTACAAGAAATGAACGATTGCTTTTTGCTTTATTACTCATTAACTGCAGCAGATAAATTTATGGACGCTACTATAACGCTTGTACAAAAATGGGGAAAAGCCGACACGACGACCCGATATAATTAATAGTGTATCAAAATTTAATTTTTTTTCAACACCATTATGCCACGCAGAGACAAACTTCAAAAACCCCATAAAGTAAACAAATTCTTGGTCAGTTTTAAATCTTCAATGCATTTAAATACATCCGCCTGATCGTCTGTCCATCTGTCCATTTGCTCAACTTTGTGTTTGTGATAAGCATTCTCTCGGGAAACTAGCCAAAATGTACCTAAATTCTTGGTCAGTTTTAAGTTCGGAATGCACCTAAGCATGTCCGTCTGTTCGTTTATTCATCTGTTTATCTGCTCAACTTTGTAATATCTGTGCTGAGCATTTTCACGTTCGAAAAAATGAAAATATCGCTTACAAATTTGCAAAAGAATTGAGGTAATGACCTAAACGCCTAGAATGCCCACACGCAGTATGGACAGTTAGTTAAATGTGAAAACCTTTCCTTTCTACATTCTATGCCTGTTATTATTAAAGTCCAACAACGTGCACCATACCGAAATTTTACCAAATTTAGTTCTTTTCCTTTTTTTTAGTTTATGTCTTTTTTAGAGTAACGTTGATGGGTATAAAAGGTTCGGTCACGACCGAATACAATTTTCTTACTTGTGTTTTTTTTTTTTTTATTTTTTTTTATTCATATTTTGAAATTATGCAAAACTTTTCATTTAACGACATCATGACATGCTCTCTCAGTATTAAAACGGCCTTTATTTAATTTGAAAACTCATTTACAAATGAGTTGACGATTGCGAAATAACGAAATCGTCCCATGGCTGTTATCATATGTCAAATATTATACGATTAGCCTGGAATTGGCCTGGATCGTATCGCAAGCAAGCTTAGTCATCAAAAGATTTTCTTTTTTCAATATCTCAGTTTTATCATTGATTAAAACAAAATTGATTCATTTTCATAAACATCGGATACATACATATATATTCGGATGTATATATATATATATATATATAAAATACGTATATGATATAAATTTCCATGACCGAACTATTGATTGAAATCGTTTTCTTTTGCATTCGACATATATTTTATTATTCATATAATTTGCTTTCTTTTCTTTACATTTCAGACTCTTACCAGTTTAAGTCCAAAATTGGGTTATGTTCTATCAAAAACGATATCAGTTATTTTGACAGCAGCAAAATTTAAACCTTTTATTAATGTAACTGCTGATCAATTAGTTTTCGGTTACGATGATCCTTTAGTAGCTTTAGCTCATCGTTTCTATCCAAAACATATACGACCCATGGAACGAATGGGTCTATTATTAGCAGTAAGTATTATTATTATTATAATATATATATATATATATATAACAAAAAAAAAAAAAAAAAAAAAAAAAAGACAAAAATAAGCGCAGCATTTTACAAAATTTTATTATCTTTTGCTTGAACTGTAGCGTAATGGCACACTAACGGAAGTTTCTACCATCAAAACTGGTCACAATGGAATGAATGAATTTGGTTATATAGAGCGTTTGAACGGTTTAGATTATTTACCGCACTGGAAACAGAGGCCATGTACTAGCATCACTGGATCGGAGGGTTCGTTTTTTCCACCCCGCGATATAACCAAATCGGATATAGTTTATATTTATGATAAGGATTTATGCAGAGTAATACCTTTAAAATATTCGCATGGCATAAAAAAGGACGGTAAGGATTATAAAAAAGAAATAAACACAAAAAGAAAAAAAAAAAAAAAAAAGGCAAAATAGAAAATCTTTTCATTTATTATTAAATGATGAAATTTTATAGGCATCCATGCGGATCTTTATTATTTACCAGAAGATTCTTACGGTGATTCGCAGCATAATTTGGAAAATCGTTGTTTTGACGCACGTGATTACAAACCAATAAAAGGCTTACAAAATATTTCACCTTGCCAGTATGGCGCGCCGGTGTATCTATCTAATCCGCATTTTTATCAAGCCGATACTCAATTATTAGAAACGGTTGAGGGCTTAAAACCACGCAAAGAACGTCATCAAACCTATTTTAAAATACAACCGGTATGTAAGAATGAATAATAATAATAATGAATAATAAATAATAGATGACGTCTATAGTAATAAAGTAGGAATACTATGATTGGGCAAAGCCAACCTTTAGATACCCTGCATCATCGCTTCGCCAATACAATCAATCATTCATTTCTTTATTAAAACGCCAAAAATTGAAGAAATATTTTTCATGCAAGCCTTCATATTGGCCGATATTTAAAACGTCAACGAAAGTGGCCCGATTTTATAATTTTCCAATTGTTTCCCTCGCTACAAACTGCACATTTAGCTTTGTCGCCAATTAAAGGGGCTTGATTTCGTAAGCGCCCCTTCCCTATATATGACGCTGTCTAAACAATAGATCTAGTTGATCCATATTCAGTAAGATAAGACTTTTTCTATCAAATTGTTATTGTGAGCGAATTTTTAACAAGAACTTTTGAAAGTTGGGCTTTTCTTTCTACCATATAAAGATTCAATTTCTATGGCAAGAGATTCAAAAAATTGCCAAAATATAATTATTAAGCGATTTTTGACGTGAACTTTTGAAAATTACATCATATTTTCTTAAATCAGATAAATCATTATATGATAATAAGGCGACCTATAGATTGAACACAAGATTACATAGACGGATGGACGGACAGATTACCTCAGATCGATTCAGAAAACGATTCAATAACTGATTCTAAATCAGTCTAAATCAGGCATAATTGAAATTTGAATCTATCTGAAGTCCTTCCGTACCGAAAACGAAGTAGGATATAACAATAAGTAATAAGTAAATAATGTCATATATAGTAAATAAATAATAAATAATAATAATAATTCTTACAGAAATTAGGTGTACCACTGGAAGGCCAAGTACGTATACAACTTAATTTAAGAGTTACGCAAGCGAAGGATGTCTTTGCGGTACGAAATTTTCGCACCTTCAATTTTCCGATAATGTGGTTGGAAGAAGGCGTTTCCGAATTAACGCCCGTTATAAGACGTTGGATTTACTTAGCCACCGTTTTTGCTCCCACCATAATACCCATAACATCGTATCTTATGATTTTAGGAGGGGCTTTCGCTATAATGTATACTTTTGTGAGAGTCTATCAAAACTATGTCTTTGCTCGCGATCCAACTCTCGAAATATTAGAAATGGGACGACGTTCTTTGCGACGTGGCAGCGGTTTTATAGCTCAACAGCAACATAAGTTAATGCATCGTGACAGTTACATTTTACTTAAAACGGGATCAAATGTACTGATTAATGACGATGCTGACCAAGATGATAGCTCATAGTATTTTTTTAAATATGTTAATAACAAAGTTCAACAAATTTTAATTATAGTTAATAATGTGGTTAAGTTATTTATATGGATTAGAATAACAACAACATATTGTGATCTTTTCATATACTTTATATTAAGGTTTTAATTCGTCTTAAGTTTAGTAATAACGCAAAGAAAGCCAAGAATTTACTTAAGTTTATATTTCTAACTCCACCATCATCGGAAGGAATTTTAATTCTCATCAATTATTAATAATGCATCATTTACTCATACTAAAGCATATATGTATATGTATGTATATACAACGATTTAGATCTTTACCAAAATCCTTTAGATCGGTTATCATAAACACGGCCCATCATTAAATACCCTCTATCATACCCTACAGCTAGCAATATAATGTAACGATTTTTCGCAATAAGGCGTTATATACGGGAAGTGATCGAAAAAAAGTGTTCCGATCGAAATCATTTTCAATAGCGTTCGTCTTTCAACCGAATACACGATAGTGTACAAAATTTCATCAAAATATCTCGAAAAAATGCGATTTTATAACACAATAAAACAATATGGACAGACGGACAGACAATTTTAAAGTGTTTTTGAATCGATCAATATAATAAAAGATGGATGAGTCCATTTCAAGTTGTTCTAGGTGTTGCATACATTCGCACAAAATTAATATATCCTAGCATCACATGGCCTGACGTTGTCATCCACGATTATTTTATTTTTAAACAAGAAATGCTAGCAAAAAAAAAATATATATATATAAATTTCATGTAAAGTACCTTTTTTTTTTTTTTTTTTGAGTAGTCATACCAAGACTTAACACATGTCTAACAAAAGAACAAGACGAGTTTTTGATGAAAAGTAAATTATTTTCCTTAGTTGCTTTACAAGTGCAACAGCATTCAGTTTATAAAAATTTAACACATATTGAAGGATAAAAAGGGAAATTTACGTCTTCGAGACAACGCTATTGTTTTGTAAGCCATTCAAAGCAATTTCTCGGCAATTTCTATTCATTGGTCCTTATGTCCTTGCGTTGTTAACACCTTTCAGTCGAAAGTTTTTTCCAACATCCACTTACTCTTATCACCGAATCGAATTTGTCTATAAAATCCATATCTCAAATTCAAATTCCATCGTTCCAAAAATTATTAATATTTTTATATATGCAAACGTAATGAATTTGCTCGCATATAGATAGGTAATCTTTATAGAAAATATCTCGAATAATGTCTAAATAGAGATCGAATATTTCACTAGATATTTATATTAACAATTAATGATTTATAGTCGTAGATAGTGAATGAAAATTTTGCTTAATAATCGGAAATCATGTCATTTTGAAAATGTCGGGAATAGTTGCCGTTGGAATCTATCCGTCTATTCTAAAACGGCTAGAGACGCTTTAAACGGGAAAGTTAACGTAAGATTATGCACATTAATGACTTTTCAAAAGAAGAAGAATGCGTTACAAGGGAAGTGATCGGAAAAGTGATGCAATCCAAACCATTCGTCCTTGGGGCATCCACCCTGGCGTATGGTATATAAATAATGTGTAAAGGATCATTTCCTTTCCTCATCTCTCTTTCCAGTTTTTATGAATACTTGCATCCAACATCGAAACAGTTATTATTATTGTTAAATATGAGGAATGGTAGGCAAGGTCGTGTGTGATCATCTTAAATAAATATTCAAATGAAATGCAATTATAAAATAAACTAGAGTTTCCTATTTCAATCCGTTCCGCCTCTTCCCCCCCCCCCCCCCCCCTCCCTCGTTCTGGCCTTCTTCTCATTCCCCTTTCTTTATCTATCATTTTCATTCCATGCTATTAATCGCTTCTAAGAACTCTAATTTTGTAATCATAATAATAAGTGAGCTTGGATTTATTTTTTTTTTTTTTTTTTTCATTTTGGGTAATTAGTTGAGGCACGGTAGAAATATTTACCGTTTGATTTTATTCAATATTCAATAAATTTTTTATTTATAAATATTTTACATTATTCACTAGTCATTTTTTATCATCAAAAAAATGAGAGTAAATTAATTGATATTATATGCATATATATGCTATGTATATACACATATATATATATATAGTTATCTGTAATATTTAGTCAATATTTGTGGATTTCTCAGTAATGTTTGTTTTAAAATGTGGGGAAGAAATTTGTACCATTTTTTTATATTTAATAATTTTTTAAATAAATGCTACAAAATTGCTATAAATAGTGAAAATAAAACAAAAATAATATATATATATATATATATATATATATGAAGAAATATAAAATACAAAGAAAAAAAAAAAAAATAATAATAATTATTTAATTTCTTATTCATCCATGGGGCTGAAAGGCTAGATACATGCTATACACAAAGACCCTATAAAATATGCTGTGAGGCTGCGTGCTCTACAGATAATATAGGGTTTCTTAACAAAATCGTTAAGCTAAGTTTGAAAATCAATTAAATTGCACATACACCTTCCCTCAAAGCATCCATATCCGATATATGTACAGGGTATCCTATTAGTTATACAAGACTTAAATGAGCCATGTAATGTCTCAATTATTTTTTGCACCGTATGGTCTATGCCACTCAACTATATATTGACCACATCCAGATCTAGAGTTGAAATGGTACCTCGAAATCTCCAGCTCAAGATCTGGTGGATCCAGACAATATCACATATCACGTTTCGAATACATCCGTTTCTCATCAAGATGAAACTGGTGTAAAGTTTATGAAAATACTTTTTCCATACTGGATCCAATCAACGATTGTGAGTATGATGGGTGAAAAAAGAAGCTGAATGCATCGAACGTATACCCATTAACGGCAAAGTTGATTAAAGAACTTATTAAATATTTTGCATATATATGTATACGTATGTAAATATTTTTTTTTTTCAAAATTTTTCGCAAAAAAAACCCAAGGAAAAAGGACTTCTTATAAAAATCATTTCTTTCAACCTTGCCTTGATAGGTTATTCGTATATTCAATTTAGTCATAGCTTCTTCTATAATTTCATAAACACTTGCAAAAAGTTTTGTGTGCCAAACAAAAAAAGGGAAAAAAAACAGTGAAGGGACTCTGGCCAACGTAGAGTAAAATATTTTTCATTGTGTTACCATTACGCTGTTACAGCGCACTTCAAAAAGGTACCTAAGCTTTTACATATATATGTATGTATGTATATATATATATATATATATATATATATATATATATATATTAATTGAAAACATTTTCGAAATAAATACTTTATTGCTGCTATCACTTTTCGAAGGATTTCCTGTATTAGACAGGTTTGCAACAAATTTATCAAAAGTTTCAAAAGTAATTTATTTAAATTTACAAAACAGAAACTATCAGATATTAACTATTCAACTTCAACTACATACATATATATATGGAAATTGCTAAGAAATTGAATACGGTTTAAGCCGAATTTCTTCCTCCATCTCTTTTCCATACGAAAATTACGAATTTCTCTTTCCCTTAATTCCATGAAACGAAAATTTTCATTGCCTAAAAAAAAAAAAAACATATCGCTCGTTTTCGTTATTCGTAATATAGTCGTAATATAATTTTGATAATACTTACATAGAGATTAAATATAATATAAGAAAAACTATCGGATCAAGGAAGCCATGCTATCATTATATATTTTCGCTCTCTTCAAAAGCGAAATACAAAAACGAGATACGTGATCAATAAAGAGGCTCGGCAATGTTGCATAAAGATTCTTCCTTAAAATCCTGTATCCCCCCCCCCAAAAAAAAAAAAAAAAAAACAAAGAAAAAAGGATCAATGGGTTATGTCAAGTAACATGTTCTTAATCTTGATGTCATTCATTTCAAGCATTTCTCTCTAATTTATGCTATTTTATCGAAACTTGTAAAATTTTATATATAGATTTTCTAAAACTTTTTGAAGCGATGCTACCTACCTTCAAATCAAATATTTTCTGTTAGTAGATAAATGTGATTACAGCTTGAAGAATTAAGAAACTATGATAAATTATGTTTGACTCAGCCCGCTTAGTACAGTCATTCATATAACGACTTTTCAAAATACGATCGTGGAACTGAAGTTATCAAAAAATTACTCCGATCCGAACCATTTTCATGGGCATTCGTCCATGGTCCAACACACCTCGTGGCACTAAATTTCAACAAAATATTTCGAATAGTATGACCTGTAGATTGAAGACAATAAAACAAGACGGACAAACGGACAGACAACAGGCAAATATAGATCGATCCAGAAAGTGCCACTATGTCGGTCGGTATAACAAAATTTGGATCTTTAACAAACACGTTTTAATGTCGAATATATCTTACCGCAAGTGGCGTAGGGTACGAACAATTGAAATTTGAACCTTTGACAGGATTGTGTGTAAAAAGATACAGTTCTCGGTAAAATCTACCACATATCTTGCAGTCCCTTGTAAAAGTTGATTATAATCAAGGAAAGAAAAAATTCTCACTTCAGGCACCAATCAATTCTATTCAAAAGAATTTGTCAAAATCGAAACAAGCTTCCGGGATATCGTGCCCATCACCTTCCAAGGAGAGAGTTTTGAAAAAAAAAGTGAGTTTGCTTTGCAGGTGTCTCATATTCAATGAGCTAAAGGCTCGAATTTTCAAAGGCTCTCTCTCTCTCTCTCTCGCTCTCCGACTACGTGAAACTTTGCGAAAATATTCCTGTGTCGAAGAGGATACAAATTTGAAAAAAAAAAAAAAATTAGTTTATAAAAGAAGAATATTTTTAAAATTAGATTTTTAATTAGTGACCATAGACAACAATTAGATATTAGTTTACAACCTGGAAGATACGTTTCCCGAACCCCTTAAAGAACATCGATATTAGAGTAATCACGATTCATGCCTATACAATTCACTATCTATAAGAGATGTTGAACTTGAACTTGTTAGATATATTACCCAGTAGATTCTGAACAATTGATCGGTACAAACGTTCACAATTAAGACAACATCCAATCACAATTTGTTTAGATTTTTTATGATCTTACAGATGTTCCGCTGCGTATAGCACATTAAGCAGTGCTGACATATTATGTAGCAATGCCACCTTAGATATCTATGCCAGTAATTGTAAGCAACTTGTGTGCAACCTATTGATTGCAGAGTATGTATTTTTATACTAATCCGATGGGACGTTTATTCTTACCTAGCACGTTATACTTGCAGGATAGTGTAGCAATACCACGTTAGATATGTATGCCAGCAATTGTAAGCAACTTGTGTGCAACCCATTGATTGCAGAGTATGTATTGTTATACTAATCCGATGGGACGCTTATTCTTACATAGCAAGTTATACTTACGGTATTCTTATATACAATTTCGGTTTCTAATGAAAGAAAGCACAACTAAATTAGTTGTAAGCAGCAAAAGTTCAATTTTAAGGTGAATATAATTCATCTTTTGGTTGCATTTGTGGC